CACCCACACCCACACCCACACCCACATCCACACCCACACCCACACCCACACCCACACCCTCACACCCACACCCACACCCACACCACACCCACACCACACCCTCACACCCACACCTGGATTAGCCCAGCGATTAGTCTGACAGATATTGACTGTTCTGTGCCATGAAATACTTTCCAAGGTTTTTCGAAAACCTTTGGAGCAATGCAGAATGCCACTGAATGATGGAGAGGAAAGATTGAAGCCATACAGAGATTTCTCAGAGTGAGTGAGAGAGCTTTGCAACACCAAAACCTACATTTGAGGTGTTTGAACCCTTGAGAACACTGAAGTGTGTTTGTGACATTCATGAATGAGTTAACACTACCTATTGAAGAAACCTCTGTAATCAACTCAAAGCTTTTGAGTACGTATTTTGCTAGGGTGTGGGTGTGGGTGTGAGTGTGGGTGTGGGTCTGGGTATGGGTACAGGTGTGGAGAGAGGTGTGAGTCTTCTCCTACCGATACACCCACACCCACACCCTCAATCGAAAATACCAGGTATTTGTGGTAGCTTTACACACCCACACCCTCAACCAGGCGGCTACCGGCAGAGCCGGCTCAGTCAGGAAATTAGGCCGGGCGAACCGAACCGGTTTGAAAATTCTGCACCGATTACAACTCTGCTTTACGTCTACCAGCAAAAAACACCTGTCTCTCCCTTCCATTATGAGAAAAAAGTGAATCTATGTTTCTCTACTTTTGCTAGTAAAAAAGGCAAGGAGGAAAAAGCGGATCCTCGGATCCTTTGGATCCTCTGGATCCTTTGGATCCTCTGGATCCTTTGGATCCTCTGGATCCTTTTGGATTCTTTGAGATCCTTTTGGATCCTAGGATCTGAAAGGATCCAAAAGGGTCTAAACTTGGACCCAAAAGGATCCGAAGGATCCAAGAGGATCCCAAAGGATCCCAAAGGATCCAAGGATCCGAGGATCCTCTTTTTCCCCCTTGAAAAAAGGTGAGTCTGTCGCTCTCCTTATCTATGAGGAAAAAACGAATCTGTCCCTTTCCTCTACGAGAAAAAGAATAAATCGGTCTCTGTCTACTTCTACCAGCAAAAAACCACCTGTTTCTTTCTCTCACTACGAGAAATAGATGGATTTGTCTCTCTCTACCTCTACCAGCAAAAATACCATTTGTCTCTTTCTCCCACTACGAGGAAAAAGTGGATTCATCTCTCTCTCCCACTTTCTTTCACACAGCTTCAACAGATATTTAAAGGCGGCCGCATCGTTCCGAAATCACAGCATTCGAACGTTACCAGTTCTTTCTTCAATTCATACTCATCGTCTAACGCCGAGTCTCAAGCTCCGACTATGGTTAACATGCGCACTCTGTTCTATGTTACCGTGCTTCTGGTACTGTTGGCTACAAGCTGCTATGCACGGAGCGCACTGCAAGATGCTCAGCACGATATTCTTTCCTCGGAGAAGCGTGATGGTCTCTTTGTAAAACGTTTTTGTGGTTGTCTTCTTTGTGTTGTTGGTATTCCTTGTCAGACATGAGGTCGGTATGTTAGAGGAATACATCGTTTTGGATTACTCGAATATTCTTTTTTTTTAGAAGAGCTGCTACGCATACACATGCACACAACACCTCCATCAAGTATCGTCGTCGACAAAGTTTCAGAAATATACTCTCTCTTTTCATTAGTTTTTTCTTCAATTGTTTAATTATAGTTAGTCATAATCGGTTTCTAATAAAACGTGTGCATATACTATCCATATCGTTCTCTATCGAATGCACTTGTACAATCATTGTCTTTTAGAAAAACTGAGACAGTGACTCCAAAATGCACTGGCAGAATATGTCCTGGAATCCGGAAAGTAAAAATCCGGAAAATGAAAAATTCGGAAAACAAAAATCCGGAAAAGAAAAAAGCCGGAAAACAAAAAACCGGAAAAGAAAAAATCCGGAAAACCATATGTGGAAAAATCTCCAATATCCTTATAACAAAGGAGAAAGGATAATATTATTTTATAAATGTTTCCTGTTGTCTACTTCAACCATGATCATCGTCCACCGAGTACCGTTCTACTTCATTGTGCTCTGCACTTCTATTATTAGGTATAGACAGACGCGCCATGGCGCTGAGCATGCCGCTGATTGTTAAATTAGCACACATGTATAAACACACAGTCGTTCTCTCAATTATTCCCATTCTACATCAATCTCACTTCTGCAACACTGAACTATCTGATCTTCTTTTTTTCTACTCTCTTCGTCTATTCGATCAGGATGGAATAATCGTTTCAAAAAACGAATGAAAAAATGTCACCCGAACATGTGGGCCTTCATCACTTGCATGCAAAACGAACAAACGCACTTTCACCAACAAGTGCTCAAGGTTACAGCGGGTGCTCAAAACACAAAGACGAAGAAGACATTGGCATTACAGGCTCAAATCAACACTCTGGCCAAACACTTCGAGAACGACGAGATCAACTGTGCCGAACATCTCGAGGGACTCTCTTTATTGGTGGGTGGTAAAAAGTGAACTACATCACTTCTCTTCATATCAAATGATTTCTCTTGTTTATTGTACGTTTTTCTTTGTTAAATAAACTGTTAATCTTCTTGCAGGATTTTTCCGGATTTTTTTTCCGATTTTTTCTTCCGGATTTTTTTCCTCCGGATTTTTTTTTCCGGATTTCGGGACAATACCCACTGGCATACTAGATGTTGTCTTCATGTGACTAATCAGTTCACTTGGCAACTCATTAGAGTTAACGACAGTGTATTCTTGTTTGTTTGTTGATAGATCGACCGCATGTTGGCTCTTTCTGAGGGTGAGGATGGGTGAGTATAATATGAATGTTTTAAGAAAGAAGAGGATAACCTTTCATTTTATATATTCATAATGGGTGTGGGTGTGGGTGTGGGTGTGGGTGTGGGTGTGGGTGTGGGTGTGGGTGTGGGTGTGGGTGTGGGTGTGGGTGTGGGTGTGGGTGTGGGTGTCGACTCAAATGAAACACACCCACCCACACCCACACCCACACCCCACACTCCACACCCACACCCCACA